AAGGAGGAAGCCCAATTTTCAGCTGTTTGCATTCATCTGTTTGTAATTTCTCCCTTCCTTCCGTTCACCACTCCCGTTTGCATAAGTTGTCTCTCGTGGTTTGTTGCCACCTTTCTCCATCTTGTCATGGTATAGCCGTCCGTCGTTGCTTGCCTCCTTTTCAGGGTGCAATCGTTTGCCGTCTCTTATGCGATTCTATGGTGTTTAAGTAAGTTTTTCACAATTTTATTTTTTGATAGAAATGTACTCCTCAAACTTAAAGGTTAAGATGATTGTGGGGCATGTAATGATTTATGGTGTAGAATGTTAGCCATTAAAAGATAAGAATATAATTAATTTAAGTGTTGTAAAGATGAAGATGATCAGGTGGATGAGTGGCTTTACTTTTAGAGATAGAATGAGAACAATACATATACAAGAAAAATTTAGACTATCTCCAAATGGTAGTTAGGATTAAAAAGAGTCACCTTAGATGGTTTGGTCACATAAAATATCGGCCTTATGATGACCCAGTTATGATATTTTGACTCTTAACATGACACATGGAGAACAAAATTCATGTTGTCGACCCCACATATGGATAAAAATGCTTACTCTAGGTAGATTTGCAAATTATTTTAAATTATATGAATGTATAGGATAAAATGTACCACTCTAATAATTTCATATTATTTATGCATAGAATACATTCTTTATATTATGAATATTAAGAATCAAAGAAGTTAGATGTATAATTCATTGATGTAAGGACAAAATATATTAACATATGAGTTTATTAATGGAGTGAATTTTTTTCATCTAGACAGTCAGTGAACTACCTAGCTTTCTCTCAGATGAAAGGTTTCGTTATTCGTGTTCTAAACATAAAAATCAAATGCACCTAATAATAGATGAGTGAATTATTGATCTATATCATAAATGATTCATTCTAAAGTATTGATATTGGACTTCTCATGGTGAGTACAAGATACATGTTGATTTTTGATGCAGTCTGTCTACAAGTTCTAATATAATTGAGAAAGAAAATATATGAACACTAGAGGTCTTAGTTTATAATATAACTGGGACATAATTTGAATAATATATAGAAGAGTCACCAAATAAGGAGGCACAATCTATAATTTATTGCATGATGCTCAACAACCAATTTAAAAGGAGTGCACTATCCACTCAAAGTTATCTGTTGCCACGAAGATGCTAAACATCAAGATAGAATATAATATCCTTCATGAATATTTTAATAAGTTCGTTGGGATGGTTAACGAGACCTATTAAGCAGATAATATAATTTCTACAGATTTATATCAAACTAAGAAGTTGATTTTCAAACTTAGTTTGACATAAGTAAAAATAAATTATTATATTAATGGATTTATGTTATATTATAAAAATGATTTATCTAAGATTGCATGTCACCATTGCAATGCATCATGATTTAAACCAAAGTCTAGAATGAAAAGAAAGTAGAAGGATGTGCTAGTCAGTAGGATATTTTACTTACCCATAATTCTTAGGTTGCAACATTTATATGTATCTATTAGCTCTACTACACATATGAGATGCCATAACAAACACATCTCACAAGTTGGTGTCCTAGCACATCTGTCAAAAGCAGAGGCCTAGAAATACGTTGATCATGCATATCCTTCATTCGCCTTAGAATCAATAAATGTTATATTAAGTTTATGCACATATATTTTTACTTAATTTAACCAACTGCTTCACCTTATTCATTTTGGCCCGTGATACTCACCCATTATAATATTTCTCCAGAATTGTGTTTGATTACACCATACATATTTTTTATATTAATTATTCTAGGGCCACATAATCCAAAAGCAAAGATTGATGTATTCTTGTAACTTTTAATCGATAATTTAAATTTATTGTGGGAAGAAGGATTAAGTACATATGATGTCTCCACCAAATAAAACTATGTAATGAGAAAAATATTACTTTGGATAATTGATGACTTTCTTGTATATGGTATGCTTTCAGATTGGAATACTTCCATAAAGTTAGCTTATCCATATTACACAGAATTTACTAAAGTCATTCACTTTGAAGCATGGAGGTAAGAATACTTGGTTTGACTGTCACCGTATATTCTTACATATAAGTCATCCTTTCATATGAAATAAGGATACTTTTATTAAAAATAAAATGGTGATGTTATAGCCTCCTCTGAGATTAAATAATGAGGAATAATTTGAAAGAGTAATGTATATGCCCACGATAGTTGATTCTCCAACACTAGCTAATTACAGATTGCCAGGGTTGGAGTCAACCATAATTGAACAAAAATCATTTTTTGTCCTTGCCATATTAGAGAATAATCTTGATTAGATATAACTTAGATGTGATGTATATAAAAAAAATATTTTTGACAATGTACTCAACATAATTGAAGACGTCAAGAATAAATCTAAAGATAATATAAAGGCAATGATGAATTTAAAGGAGATTGTAGAGAAAAAAATTTATAGTTGAAAGAAAATAAAAATAAAAAACTTCTAAAACCAAAAGTGTCATTCACCTTGACTTTAGAGTAGAGACAAGTAGTTTGTAAATAGGTGCAGACTCTAAAGGTACTTAATAGATATTATTCTAATCTTAGTAGACGCATTGACATGAGATTTGTGAGATTATTTTTTGGATTAAAAAGTCATGACTATCATATCTTCATACAATGTCTACTACCCTTTGCCTTTAATTTTTTGTCAGATCTAATTTTGAAGCTCTTGATCAAGTTAAGTATCTTCTTTAAGAATTGATGCTCCTCAGAATTGAATGTAAAGCACTTGATTCATTTGAAGCACAATATTCCTCTTATTTTGTATAAACTTGAGAAGATATTTTCTCTAGCATTTTTTGACTCTATAGAGTATCTACATGTATATTTATTGATATTGATGTACTCAATAAATATGTTAAACACGTTGACTAATATTTCTCATTTGTCTTAATGAGTTAACATAATAAATATGCTACTAATATACCTACATTTGATCAATCAATCGTAAATCTACACTAACCGCCGGAAAAAACTGCCGGTTTTCAGCGTTTTTCCTGTAGTGAAGGATGATTGGTTCTCACTTAGGGACTAAATATATTAGTAAAACATTGACTTTTTTTTTGTTTTGTAAATAGCTATAAATTTCAAACCAAATATGTGTGTAAAGGAATGAAGATAAAAAATTTTAGAGTTTGTGTAAGAGGGAATACTCATATAAAAGGTGATTCTGAGTATTATGGGTCTTACATGAAAAACTACAGTTGGAATATCTAGGTGATGGAAACTCCATGTATACTTTTAATTGTGATTAATTTGATCCAATATATAATAGGGGTACAAGAGTACATTCACTATACAATATAATAGAAGTAAAGTGGGGTAGGGGATATACAAAATTCGACCCATTTATCATTACTAGCTAGGCTAGCCAAGCCTACTTTGTTAACTATCAGGGTATATTACAAGCAAAAAAGATTAGCTCATAGTCACAAGACCAAATCCATTGGATTCATTGAGAAAACCACATTAATATCACATGCACATCAAGAAGAGTTTATATCAAACTTAAAAGATCTTGATAATGATGTTGACAACCAAATTATAACTAATGAGAAAAAGTTATAGTTATATGAAGTAGATTTAAACATTGAAAAAAAATTGAGGAATCTCTTAGTGATGTATATGAACTGTCATCGCATGGAAGTGAATCAATAAATGATTAGTAAATAGAAGGTAAATTTATTTAATGTATGCATAAGTTAATTTAGTTTTTAATAGCATATAAGTAGTTACAATTCATATGAAGTTTATGATTTTTTTAACAACATAGCAATAGTTACTTCACTTTATTTTTTGTTGCTCTACTTTGTCGTTGCTCTACTTTATTTTAACAGCTTAGCAATACTTATAATTTTTATAAAATGCATGTTACTAATTATTTTTTCAATATTATTTGTAGATAGCTTCTGGTGATGACCTCCTTGACAATCGATACTGATCAAGAACATCTTTGTCAGGCAAAAGAAGGTGATTAGTGGCCATCTAGTAGACCTATACATATTGAGGAGACATCTTCTTCTCAGACTGCCACTCAAAGTCAGCCAAGCCCACTTTTACCTACTCCTTCAGCTAGTAGTCCTCAATTTTACTCTCCAAACCCCAGCTTTCCTTTACTAAACCCCACTCACAGTATTTCATTCTACCCTCACTACTCCCACCACCTTCTCATAAAGTCCCTCTGACTTATCCATATCCATATATGTCTCACCATTCTACCACCTACCACCACCTCAGCCCTTTATAGGTGAAACTTCCACCCCTGTTGCAACGAACCAGACGTCAGATGGGCACATGTTGATTGCACATGAGGGTGGCACATATATACTAAGGACATTCTTAAGACTACACATTAATACAATTTGATAAATATTTTTTACCTAACATATTTCATGTACGTTTTATCCATCAAAGCAGCTCACACATAAGATATGGGGCATCATACGTATCAAGTTTGATGCTCCTTATATTTCTTAGAAGAAAATTCAAAAGGAAATGCACAATTTATGATTCAAGGAGTCTAACGTTAGTTATTAATAAAAAATAAATATTATATATTATATCTTTTTATTTAAGTTAACAAAAATATTATATATATATATATATATAT